GGGGAGAGAGCGACAAGCTGAAAAACTGAAACAAAACGCCCATCCGACAATGGAGCCCATGTTGCAGCGGGAGCACCATCCTGAAGTACGGGAATCACTAGGATTGTAAACACATGACTTGAGGAAAACAAGTGGTTGAAATCCTTTGAAGTGTAAAGCAATGCGCTGAGAGGGCATGGTATCTTCCCAACGGAGACCAGGGGCAAGCGGAGAACAGCACGGTCGGACCTGGGACAGAAGAATGCCCTTCACAAGAACATGTGACCCTCCACTGGCCAGAACAAGCAGACGCAGACATTCCGAGGGCACCCTCCCCCAGGATGCACAAGAGCATCCAGCAACCATGAGGAACGCTGGGGCACCGACCCCCGAACCGACCTCGATCTGATACCTCGGCCCGACCGTATTCCTACGTTTGTTATTTTCAACTCGAGGCCTCCTAGATGGGGTCGGAGTAGATGGGACCGCAGGATCGCGCAGCATCGCCGATACATCGGCGATGCATCATCGATCCATCGGTGCCTCGTCGACGTTTGCGATGCGTCGGCGACGTCGACACGAACCAAATCGGGCTCCACATCGAGCCGCATCGACGATGCATCCGCGATGCGGCGCGATCCTCCGACCCCGTCTACTCCGACCCCATCCAGGGAGGCCTAGATAAACCTGTTTTTGATCTAGCGTTTTAGGGGAACCGAACTCTATACACCGACGCTTTTGTCTGACCTCACACTGAATCTCGCACAGTTGAGCGGATCCTGGTGTATACGGGATCCTGGCGTATCCATTCTCCGTTGTTTCCCCGGAAAACGGCGGAAAAAAGTATACACCACACCACCCCGACGTCGTCCCCGACCCTCAAAAAAGTCCTGGGATTGAAAATCCGCCCGCCACTGGTAATGTATATGCTACATGGGGATTTTTGGCCGAAAAATAATCAATACCCAAAAAATCCACCCCCCCATGGACAAAGATAGGCTAACAATCGTCCCCTGACTATGTCGTTACGAGTCTTGAACATCCCTGCTGCAGAGGGACAGGCCCGACTCGAATCTGGCGCCTGTCGTCGAGAGGACGGGGCCGCACGCGCGGGCCCACTCGGGCGCCTGCTGCAGCGCGTCCGGCACGCCGTCCTGGCGCGCTCGCTCCGCCGCGGCCGCGGGGAAGGGGGGGGGGGGAGGCGGAGGGGCCCCGCGGCGGCCTGGGCCCCGCGGCGGGCGGGGGGACGCGAACCGCGGGCCTCCGAGGGCGACGGAGGCGGCGTCGACGACGACGACGTCGACGACGGCGGCGGCTGCCTGGCTGCGCCCCTTAAAATCCGCCGGCCCCCTTGTGGGGCCACCAGGCTGTAGGCCGGGAATTCGCAGTTTCCTGTACCAGTTGCAGCTTCCAGTTTCCACCGATACAGTTCTGCTTCTTGCTGCTTACTGTTCCTCGTTGACTTCTTGCTGCTAGCTGTTCCTTGATGATGGACCGCGCGAGGGGGGGAGGCCCAAAACGGGCATTTTTCACATGCCCAAATCGTATTGTCTGAATTGCTGGGGTGGGTGAAAATTTACACCGATTGCGCAGATCGGCGGGGTCAGGGTCCTAAAACACATGGGATTTGCCACATTTCTGAAATTCGGCGGCACCCCTCACGCAGATCGGCAGGGTTAGGATCCAAAAAGATATGGGATTTGCCACATTTCTGAAATTCGATGGCACCCCTCACGCAGATCGGCGGTGTCAGGGGCCAAAAACACATGGGATTTGCCACATTTCTGAAATTCGGTGGCACCCCTCACGCAGATCGGCGGGGGCAGGGTCCTAA